GTAGAGGTCGCGGTAGACGAGGCGAAACTGCGACGGTCTGCCCGCTCCAACATCGGCAAGCCGCCGGAGAAGCTGAGCTACCACGCTTGTCTGCCACCAACCTCCTACAGCACTCTGCTCGACGACGCGCAGGACGACGTTGTTCTGCCCGAGCTCGACCCCGACATGCACGCCGATCCGGACCATCGCTGGGACATCGCCAACATGACGGTGAAGGAGGCGTTGGCGAGCTGGAAGGGGAATGCGGTGAAAGCGGCCATGGACGAGGAAATCAAGAGTCTCATCTCTAACGGGACGTGGGAGCTGGTCGAGCGTCCGCGCGGTGTCAACATCATGAAGAACCGCTGGGTGCTCACAACGAAGTACCACGTCGACGACACGGTCGCCCGCGAGAAGGCTCGTCTGGTGGTGAAAGGTTTCACGCAGGTCTACGGCGCAGATTACGAGGAAACGTACGCGCCGGTGGGGAGCTACGTGACTCTGCGAATCTTCCTCAGCATTGTAGCAGTTCTCGATCTGCACCTGATGCAGCTGGACATGAAAAACGCGTTTCTGCAGAGTAAGCTGGATCGCGTCCTCTACATGTACCAGCCCGACTACTACAACGACGGAACCGGTCGCGTCTGCAAGCTGCTGAAGAGCTTGTACGGGCTGAAGCAGAGTCCGCTGCTGTGGTACTCGGCGCTCGACGCGGTGCTGACGGGCGCTGGCTGGCAGAAGAGTCAGGTCGACGAGGCACTCTACTTCAAGATCGGCGACGACGGAGTGGCGTGCTGGGTGCTCGTCTACGTCGACGATCTGCTCGCCGCAAGCAGCAGCACTGCGATGCTGAAGGAGCTGAAGGAGCTGCTGGAGGCCGCCTTCGAGCTGCGCGAAATCAGCCCGGTCGAGAAGTATCTCGGGCTGGAAATCGTGCGCGACCGTCCTGCGAGGAAGCTGTGGCTGCACCAGCAGTCGTACGTCGATAAGCTGCGTCGGCGTTTCATCGACGAGGAGCAGACCGGGCGAGTGCCGAAGACGCCGGTCTCCGTCGACGCCTACGCAGAGCTGATGTTCGACGACGAGGAGTTTCAGTCGCGCGAGGAAGCAGAGTACCGGCAGAAGGTCGGCTCGCTGCAGTTCGCGGCCACCACGACGAGGCCCGACATTGCCTTCGCTTGCAGCAAGCTCGGATCCGGCCTGACTGTGCGGAGCGACAACCACTGGCGTGAGGTCGATCGCTGTCTGCACTACCTCGCTGAAACTCGTGACGCCGCTCTGGAGTTCGGCGGCGGACCAGAGTCGCTGGTTCTGGTCGGCTATGCAGATGCAGACGACGCTGGCGACAAGCAGAATCGGACGAGCACAAGCGGCTATATTTTCATCTTCGGAGGAGCCGCAGTTTCGTGGTCGAGCCAGCGCATCAAGTGCGCGACGCTCTCGTCGACGGAGTCGGAGTACGTCGCGGCGACAGAAGCCGGCAAGGAGGCTCGCCGTCTGCGCTTCCTCCTTGCAGAATTCCGCCTGCTCGACCCAAGGAAGCCGACTGTTCTGCACGTGGACAACCAGTCGGCAATCAAAGTCGCAGAGGGCTTGGGGCTACCTCAAGCACATGGAGCGACGCTACGCATGGCTGCAGCAGATGGTGAAGCGCGGGAAGATTGCTCTGCAGTACATCCCGACTTCTGAACAGCCGGCGGATTTTCTGACGAAGGCGCTGCATTTTCCGCCTTCCAACCGGTGCTCCGTCGCGATCGGTCACGTGCGTCTGGCCGACGTGGGCGACGGGGATGACGAGGTGCAGCAGTAGGTGCCGTGCCCTTTTGCACGGCTGGTGCGGTGATCTTCGTGCTATGTGTTGGGTGCACGTAGAAGGAATTTCTCCTTGTATTCTATCCCTCTGGGTTCTGGGTGGACCTTGTGTGTGGGGTGCCCAAGCGTGAGCGCGGCAGGGGAGTGTCGAAGGAAATGGCCCCGCCCTCGCTTGCGCGTAGTTGATCTCGCTGCAGACGGGAAGTTCGCGACCGAGCAATCGACGAAATGGGCTTCTGCAGTTCGGCGGAAGTTGCGGTCGAGCAGGTTCTGCTCGACGGAATCTGGTCAGTCAACGAACTCTGCGCGATGAGCTCTGGTCGACGCTCTCTACGCGGCGAGCTTCCGTCAAAGAGCGCTGGTCGAAGAACTCTGGTCGAAGAGTTCTGGTCGAGAAGCTATGCGCGGCGAACGCTGTTCGACCGTGCAGAGTCGAGCTCACTGACCGAAGTTGCAGAGTCGCGCGAAACTCTGCGAAGGCGTGCGAACATTCGCCCAGGAGATTTTGGCGAAGTTCTACCTGCGGAACGGCATCACGTGGTCGACGGCGCGCACCTGGCGAAACCGACGACACGTTTTCTACCTGACACCTGCGCATTGTGCCTGACGGTGAAACCGCCGACCTGCACCCACTTGGTAGGTGCGCACATCTGCGCAGATAGACAACCTGCGACCGTAGAAAGTTACCTGCGATTGCAGATAGTCACCTGCGACTGCAGTGCTGGCAGACCGCGCGCAGTGCAACGCTGGCAGATCACTCTGCTGCAGCGTTGGCAAGCCGCTCTTCTGCTGCGCTGGCAGAGTTCGCCCTTGCTAGGAGTTCCATGCCATTCTAGTCCTTTTGTTCTGCATGCCTCAATTGTACTCTATTCTTTCCTATCAACTTTGTTATTGCAAGTTGTTCTTTCCTTAGTGGAATTCTTGCCAAACTTCTCAGTGCAAATAGCAAGCAGTAAGAACGCTAGCAGAGCGCTACGATCACTCGCACAACCCCGTGCCCTCCTCCGTAGTCCACTCCCGTTGTGTAGTGACTCTCCGCAGCAACAACTCCAGGCACGCATTGTCGTACAAGTCGTTTTCCGAGGTTACCGGCCCCGGTTTCCCTCGCCGCCTACGTCCCACTTCTTCTAAGTGCGATATGGCCACTCCGCTTTTCGTTGCAGCCCGTAAGTGTCGGGGGGTCCGAAATTCCCGTCTGTCCACGTGCACTCCTGCCGAAATACTCGATGACGCACCCGCCAATGCAGTAAAAGCCGCTGCACTTAACAGGTCGGGCGGGACGGCAGTTAACTCCCGCGAAGTCGGGCAGTCTTGTGTCGTCTCTCCTCGCCACCGACATTTTCGGACGCAAACTCCTTTTGCGCCTGGCGAGTTCCCCAGCCGACTTTTTCTTCAACTGTTGCTCCGAAATTGTCGCCCTTGCTGATGCAGGCCCGTTGTCGCCAACTGCCGAAGATTCTCCAGAGAATCTCGCGCACAAGATGACGGCGTGCCATCGACGTCACTTGCCGCGTAGGGACGACTCCGAAATCTTCGCGCAACTGTTGACGCAGATCCGCCAACGCCAGCTGCCACTCGTGATGATGACTTCGATGCTGTTCGTGCAGGTGCCGACGCAGGTCCGCTGACGCAGGCTGCCACACGAATCAAGCTCCGAAATCGTCGGAAATCGCAGCGGAAATTACTCACTTTAATGTCGCGACAGCTACTGCTGCCCGTCGCCCGGGGGGAGGGAGGTCACGGTCGATCGCGACCGTCGAAGGCAAGGATCTGGCGGTGCCGAAGGAGTACCCGTAAAAACATAGCCGCAAGGAGCAACTAACTCGTTCTCCTGGCCGGCCTACGCGACTCCTGGACCCCAAGACATCCTTCCTCGTCCTCCTTACACTCTAAAAAGCGGGGTAGGCTAGGAAAGTAGCTCTGATACCAGGTGTTATGAATGAACTTGTCAGAGTGCGCAGAATATCGAATAACGAGAACGAAAATTACAGAATGATTGAACAATGAAGCAGGGAGTCCTAAATAGGGGAAAACCTAGCTAGGCGGGGGGTTCGGGATGGGATGGCTCGGTGATGGCTACGATTGGAGCGGAGGAAGACTCGGGGGTGGTTCGGTGCGGCGAATTAGGCCGAACAGGTTCGTCGCGACACCTTCGGGATGTACTCGCTAAAGTGCGAGTACAGTAAGGAATTGTAATTCCTTACAATAACAGAGGGAATGTACCGGTAACCGGTAGGTGTAATAGGGTAACTAATTTTTCATATTCTACTTTTTTAAGCTCACATTTGCAAGTGTATAGTAAGGTGGAGTGCAAGGGGTTCGAGTTGGGTTCTGTATGTCGAAAGAGCGTTCAACGGAGTTACATCGCGGTAGCGCATTGTCGCTCTCCTCTCTCCCTTGTTCATTCGCGCGTCGCTGGCGTGGGTTGTGCGGTCAAGAGGCAGCATCGAAATAACGCGTACAACAGTATTGAATCGTCGGCACGAAGGCGAGAAGGCAGCCAGACCAAAGCTGACTGGGAAAGCGAAGGGATGCGTCGGTGAAGGTATGGGATCTCACATTCATTGCTAGCGCTGTTCGTAACCTTCTAGGGACTGGACTTCTTGCGGTCAAGCAGCTGCACCAATCATGTCACACTACTGGTGCGCGACTTCCACTAGTAGCGAACCTTGAAAGCTAGAAAGCTACTTCGCTCGCGAGCGCTTCCCTCGATTTGCTTGAGAAATAAACTTGTGTCGCACGACAACTGCCGCAGATGAGTCATACACGTAAGGTCTTTCTCCACTGTTGCAAGAACATGTTTGGAACTTAGAACAACGGCGTCCTGCACAGAACGCCGAAATGACTGCACTGCACATACTGCTTTCTATAGATTTATTCCACTCACACGACATTGGTCGTCAGAAGAAAAAGAAGCCGAGCTTCTTCCCACCTTTCGGCCTAAAGTTCACCCCAACTTTAGGACGTCGTTGTTCTAAAGTTCTACTAAACACATCTGGCAACAGTGGAGAAAGACTTCACGTGTATGACTCATCTGCGGCAGTTGCCGTGCGACACAGTTCAGAAATTCACCCCCAACACCGCGTGATACTTGCAAACGTTTGGTCACAAGCGTATTCAGTCCGAGAGACATCATGTCAATGACTGACAGTAGCACTTAGGATGATATGGCCCGCTCCTACCCAAAGCCACTTCCAATTAGCAACAACATGTTGTCGCAGTCGCTCCAAACCCCGCGCCGTTCATCGCGGAAACCCAACCTCTCTCTCAGCCTTCCAGTCGTTGCCGATGATTTCCGTAGAGTCAACGCATCCGGGCCGCCTCTCGACAAACGAGCCTCCGAGGCTCCGCCGGGTGCGCGACGATTAGACAACCGTCATCGCGACGCGGCATTGGACACCAAACCGTCGCTGGCCGCTGCGACCTCAGTTCACGTCACCGGTGACGCCGCGGGTGGCACGACGGGCCGCGACGCGACGCAGCTCTCGTCGTATGCAGGAGGTTCTCCGCGTTTGTCCGCTGAACTGGCGGCTCCCGCCAGATCGTCCGCTGGCCAGCGGCGGGTGAGGGCGACACGGCACTTCTCTCGCTCCTTGTCGTCCTCCGCACTGCCCGAATCGGCGCTTCCCCGCCGCTCGCCCTTCTCGCCGCACTCCTCCGCTGTCGCGCGAAGCTCGGCGGGCCGATCGCCGCCGTCGCCGGCGTCGGTAATGTTGTCGCCTCAGACGCCCTCGCCGTCGCGGGAAGAGTCCAGGCGGGCGAGAGATGATCGGATCAGGGCGACGGAGGGCCCCTGCGCGAACAGTTCTTCCCGCGGTCGGGCCGTCGCAGGCGATACGTGCAAGCCGTCGGATGGGCCGTCCGTCTGCAGCCCAGAGGCGATAGCTTCCCCCGTCTCATTCTGGTTCGTCTTTTCTCACGCTTTCCGCTCTCCTCACGCTTTCCGCCCCTTCCCTGCTGTGTTCATTTTCTCCGTGCATAAGCCCATGTGGACGATGTTCCTCACTCCACGTCATCCTGGTGCCGCACTTCGTAGTCTAGCCCTCTAGACTGCTATCAACTGCCTCGTTTCGTCCCCTTCCTGTTCTCCGACTCACTCCTACCACCCTCTCCTCCAAGGAGTCCCTTCTAGCGCTTCTATAGCTTTCCCACTCCCTTCTGCAAGTCTCGGCCCTCCGCTCCCTTTCCAACTCACCGTTTCTCTCTCTGCTTTCCCCCTTCCGTCCCCGTGCCACCCCGCATTGCACCATCCAGCACCGCGCAGGAGGCAACAGCACCGCTTACGGCCGCCACGGGTACCGACGCTATGCCAGTCAGCAGCACGCAAGGCAGCAGACTTGGACTGGCTGTTACCAGCGATTCCGCTGCCCTTACCAGCCCAACCACCCCCCGGCTGTCCCCGCGTCCTCCCCCCTCCTCGCGCCCTCCACCGTCCCCGCAACTGCTTCGCTCGCCAGTCTCACGCGCATCTGCAGGCACACCTGCACTCGACCAGCGCGCCGCCACCACCCTCGCAGCACGGCGAGCGCTTGAAACACCCATTCCTCCTCTGAACGTGCCGTCCCCCACGCGTGTCACGCCCGTGAAGTGGCAGCCGCCGTCCCCCACGGCGGTGCGCAGCCCGCACGCGGAGCTGATTCAGCAGCGCGCGGCGGAGGCCAGGGCGCGGCAGGCGCACATGGACGAGGCGTGGGGAGCGCTGCTGCTGCGCGATGAGCAGCACGGCTGCTCCGCGTGTGGGCCCTCCAAGGGCGCAGCAGGCGAGTGTGCTGCGGATTCTTTGCCCCTGACTGCTGGTGGTGCTTCGAAGACGTCCTGGGGTGCTTCCTGGCAGCTTCTGATGGCGTCGGGGCGGAGCCTCAAGGGATGGAATGGGGGCTCAACGGCAGCCAAGGATAGTGACATTAATGGAGGTGTTCCTAGAGGGGATGAGTTGGGGAGGCTGAGCGGCGGTGCAGATGAGAGGTCATCAGGGAGCGTGAGGCGTGGCGTGGTGATGCCAAAGAGAGGGAGCATGAGGAGGCTGTGTCGGTCCGTCTCTTTCAGCGATGGTTTGCTCTCACCCGTTGCTACTGCTGCTGCTGATACGGTTGCTGCTGGTGGTGATGCTGCTGCCGCTAACGATGGGGGTGGCAGTGGTGGCGATGATAAACCTGCTGGCAGCATTGTGAGATCCAAGACACTTGGACATGCAGCGCACACCTCACAGGAGGCACCTGTGGCATGTGCAGCACAGGGCGACCTCCATTCGTTGTCATGCAGTCCCACTCTCAGCGCACGCCGTGCGTCTTTCGATTTGTTGAGTTCTTCCTCACTCCGCCACCATTGGTTGAATCCTGCCCTTTACGACCCCGCCTTGCACCACCCTCCTTCAACAAAAGACAGACAAACGGGAACGAGGGCGAGCACGGGCACAAGAGGAGCACCACTGGGAGTGGGGACGAGGACTGGGGCAGAGGGACCAGTATCGGAAACGGGATCAACGACAGGGGCCATTGGAACGTCCACCGAGGCAAGGACACTTTCGGTCAGCAGCAGCAGTCTAGTGGCTGACGACGACGGGGGCAGCATCCCTGCTTCCCCCATTGGGGTCAGCACGCGCCACTGCAGCTCGCTCGAGTGCTCCACAATCTACTCCTGCGCCATTCCCAGCCCTGAGACATCAGCCTCCACCACCCAATCAGTGCGTGTGAAACGGCACCCTGGGACTGCTACACGGTGTCTGTACAGGAGAGGCACGCCACGGAAGTTATCCTCCTGCTCCAATCTTCCCCATTTGCCAGCAGCAGCAGCACCGGCTCTCCACACACCAGCAACCACCGTCGCTGGTGCTGCAAATGCCGCAGCAACCTCATGTGGTGGGGATCCAGGCACACAACTCCCTGTTGCCTCCGCTGATGATTCCTCGCCTGCAGCTGCACTACCGAGTGCATCGCTTCCACATCGCAGCTTCTCATCTTCCATGCTCTCTGCACCGCCCCTGCTGCCTGTCTCGCCAAATGCTGAGACGGGGGAGAAGGGAACGAGGCCGTCACAGATGCGCAAGAGGGTGTCGTTCAACTCGATGGTGAGGGTCAGGACGTTTGTGTCCATACATGACTTTGAGCCTGCTTGTGAGGCAGCACCTGCTATATGCTAGGATGGTGCTCTGGTAGGAAACATGTATATTTTGCTATGTGGATAAGGGGATGCAAAATGGTATCGAAGTTCCTGGGTGTACTGTCGAGGAGGCTCTAGGAAGGAAGGAAGAGTTATGACCGCTTTCATTCTGCATGCTGGTGGTGTTGAGCAATATTTTGATATCACCAGTACTATGGTGGTGTTATAGATTGCTGTTATGAAGTCTCAAGGCGAAATTTAACAAGCTCGGGTTGCGAGGTCACAGTAACGAATCTCTCGATTGGCCTACCATCTCCCAATCTCGGAAGTCTCGAAGTGGCGAAGGGGGGTGTTCCTCGAATTCTCGCAACCTCGTTATCCGAGCATGGCGATCTCGCGACAACACCACACCCGACCTACAACGCGTTACAACGTTACGACCCCAAATTAGAGACATGTGTAGTGGAATCCTCTGCAGCCATATTTTGCAACGACCATGGGACGAATTTCATTTCCTTTCCCTTAGCTAGTTTTCTCATCAAGCGAGGCGAGGACTAGTCATCTCCATGGCGCGATCTCTTCACACGCCGTGCCTCAAGCCACTTGCCGAGCCGCGCCATGCTCCGCGCATGTTGCGCGCACGCCTGTGTCAAGAGCGAGTGCATTCGTTCCCGCAGATTGGTTCCGCCATTTCGGTTAGAAGATCGCCTGTTGGCCACGTGACTGCTCTCCGCGTCACGTCAAATTCCGCGAGCCCGAGAGTCAGCGTCGCGGACCACAGACGCTCGTTTTCCGGCAGCGTGAGCGCGCCGAGGTGCAGTTCTGCCTCTTTATAAGCGTACTTTTTTGGCCCTTCGTTGTACCGTTCCCTTCATTTTTGGCCCGCTGTGTGTTCACCGCTGCACTGGTAGATCTGATCAAGGAGGGCCCAGACGATGCGGTATATTTCGAATGTCTGGTGTCGCTGATGGTGCCACTCGTCTGAATTCTAGAATCACATCACACGTTTTCTCTTACATTTCCCCGGCGCCTCGATTCCCTTTCCTGTCCTCCCTGACAACCCCACTCTCCCTCCTGCCAGCCTCCATCGCTCCCCTTTGGGAACTTTCTCCGTTTCTTCTCATGCAGCAGCTTCGGGAAATGCCACCACAACATCTGACGTGGCAGCTGATGTCAGCGGTGTTTGCAAGCCGGAGTTCGCTGCTGAGCTGGCAGCAGCAGTCGATGTGGTAGAGAGGGCATGCCACGTGTGCCTTGCTGTGAGTAAAATTGCTCCCCACTCCCTCCTCCTCCAGTTCTATCCTCTCGCCTCTTTCCATTCCCATCCCTCCCCTCACCACCTCCCCTCCCTTCAATCCCTTTCTGTTCCGTCCTTTCTCACCTGCCGCAATACCACATTGCCACCTTCACTTCACCGTGCGCACATCCCTCTCTCCCGTAATCTCACATGCATGGATCCCCCCTCTCCATCCCTGCAGGTGAGGGAGCAGATGGTGTTGGAGGAGCAGGGGGGGTACAGCAGCGGCAGTGAGAGCGAGGGCGGTAGCAGCAGGGTGGACAAGAAGGACCGCTCGCCCGTCACTGTTGCTGACTTTGCCGTGCAGGCACTTGCTGCTCTCGGTGGGTGCAGGCGCTCGCTGCTCTCGGTGGGTAATTTACCCTCGCGGCCTTCTTGTGCCAGTAGCCTTGGCTTCAGTGGTCGCGCCTGTATGTGCCTCTCCTTGTGCCCCTCCACTCCACCTGTCCACTCTCCACCTTCACTCCATGCACCTTGAATTGCTTCAGTCAATCGTGGATCAATGCCGCAATGCTGATGGAACGCACGCCAACAGCAATTATCCCGTGCATCACCATACATACACCCCCCCGCACTCCAGAGCTGGCCCGCCAGTTCCCCGGCGTGCCCCTGCTGGGCGAGGAGGACGCCTCTCTGCTGCGCGCCCACCTCGCTGCCCCCTCTGCCCCCACGCCTTCGCCACCAGCGGCACAGGCAGACACTGTCGCTGCTATGGGTTCAGCCACTGCAGCAGCAGCAGGCGGTGCGGCCAGTAGCGTAGCAGCGGGGGCAGCCGGGGCAGCAGGGACAGCGGGGGGAGGGGAGCAGGGGCCATCCCTGGCGGAGAGGGTCACGGATCTCGTTCTCTGCTTCGCCTCGCCCCACGCCCTTGCCGTGGCAGGCGCAGGGGCAGGCGCTGAGGAGGGGAGTGGGGGGCGGGTGGCAGCAGTGGAGGCGGTGCTGGCAGCCATTGATGCCGCTGCTGCTGCCACCTACGACCTCCATGCTGCCGCTCGTGCTGCTCCCAGGCACCGACGATACTGGGTAGGTTCGGCTCGGGTCCCTCTCTCTTTCTCCCATCTCTCCAATCTCTCACATCTCTCACATCTCTCACATCTTCCACCACACCCCAGACCTCCCCAGCCCCCCCCACCCCCCACTTCCCCCCTCCTCCTCTCCCCCTCCTGTATTTTCTGCAACCTGTCCATTTCCTTTTCCTTCGTATTCTCTCCACTGCTTTGTCTCATTTTGTTCCTCCACCTTATCCTGCATGCTTGCGTCGGTGCTCATGGTGTTATGTCTCATGATGTTACATCTCGTGCTGTTGTGTCGCATGCTGCCATGTCGCATGCTGCTATGTCGCATGCTGCTATGTCGCATGCTGCTATGTCGCATGCCCCCATGTCGCATGCCCCCATGTCGCATGCCCCATGTCGCATGCCCCCATGTCGCATGCCCCCATGTCGCATGCCCCATGTCGCATGCCCCATGTCGCATGCCCCATGTCGCATGCCCCCATGTCGCATGCCCCCATGTCGCATGCCCCCATGTCGCATGCCCCCATGTCGCATGCCCCCATGTCGCATGCCCCCATGTCGCATGCCCCCATGTCGCATGCCCCCATGTCGCATGCCCCCATGTCGCATGCCCCCATGTCGCATGCCCCCATGTCGCATGCCCCCATGTCGCACACCACAGGTGTTGGATCCCATCGATGGCACGCGGGGCTTTCTCAGGGGCCGCCACAACCAGTACGCTGTGAGCTGCCCCTCATACTCGCGACCTGCATAGCACTCTTCTCTTCCATCCGTTTCTGCTATTGTATGGACAATTCGCACGGAATTGCTGTTGAATGAAACTCTTGTGACATAATATCTAGAAGTCTACGTCCAGCCACGTCTCCGTGGCAGTGAGATGCGCTGCATGCCATGCATCATGTGTTCCACTCATGTCAAATTCGTGCTCTCATCCTTTGCCTCCCTCATTCTCATCCCGAGTTAGCTTCTAATGCTGTCCCATGTAATTTGCCTGCATTCAAGTCAATGCTCATCTGTCCCCTCCGCCCTCCCTCAGGTGGGCTTGGCGCTCATCCAGGACGGAGAGCTCGTCCTCTCAGCCCTTGGCCTCCCCAACATGCCCCTGCCACGTGGCACCTCCTCACCCACTCAATCTACTGGTGACGTTGCGGGGTCTGCAGGAGCTGACGAGGGTGACGTGGAGAACGATTCAGAAGATGACATGTGGCAGAGGCCACGTGGAGTGATTCTAGCAGCTACCATGGGAGGAGGAACATGGATGCGGCGATTACAGGGCAGCAGTCATACAACCAGCATGCACAGCAGCACCCCAAGCAGCAGCAACAGCAGCAGCAGCACGAGCAGTGGTGCAGAGTGGGCATATGAGCGGGTGCATGTGGACGTGGGCGTGCGCAACATGCTGGCCGCCGCCACCACCCACCAGCACAGCGCCGACCAGACTCACCCGCTCCCCGGCACCCCCTGGGATGCCACCCCTTGGAATGGCAGTGCGTGGGATGAGAACAGCACCCGGCATGCCACCCATGGCCCCACCATCCAGAGCCACAGCAGCACCAGCGCTGGCGCCGTGCCAGTAGTACATGGCGCCCACAGCACCACTGCTGCCGCCACCAACAGCAGCAGCAGCAGCAGCAGCAAGCGGCTGTGTGTGTGCATATCGGACCACGAGCAGTGGCCGTCGCTGCCCCTCGCAAAAGGCCTGGAAGCCGCCGCTCCGCACGCCTCGCATGTCACCGTGCTGCCGCTCTGCTGTGGCAGGTGGGTGCTGCCGCTCTGCTGTTGCGGGTGGGTGCAGTGTCTTGCGCTCTGCTGTTGCGGGTGGGCACTGTCCTCTCCTCCCTCCACTCTCGCCCTCGGCCCCCTGTCCTCTCCCTGCTCTTGTTCCCTTCCCTTTGCTCTCCTCTCCTCCATTCCCTCGTTTTCCTCCTTGCCGGCTAGAATTATCCGTGGATATGTCCTCCTCCGCTACAAAACTGATGTATGGTCACAGTAGTATTTCTCGCTGGCAGAGGAAATGGGACGAGAGTGGAGAGGGTAGAGGAAGGCAGAGGAACGAACAAGGGTAGAGGGAAGGGAACAAGAGTGGACGGAGGGGAACGAGAGTAAAGGGAGGAGATGATAGAGGGAAGAGAACGAGATTGGAGGGAGGAGCGGAGAGGAGAGGGAAGGGAAATACTTTTGCTAATCAAATTAACTCATCCCTTTCCATTCTGCTGGCCCATTCAGCGTTTCCAAGTACCCACTGGTAAGTAGCACTGGATTGTGGACCAACAAGTGTGCGTGAAGCAACAAAAGTGCCTCTTCCTCGCTTCCCCCATGCAGTCTATGCAAATATGGGCATTGGCGCTGGGCTGTGCAGCAGCAACATGCGTGCGCAATGATGTTTCCTCTCGTGCCCTCCCACCCGCCCCTGCCAGTCTGTGCAAGTACGCGGCAGTGGCACTGGGCTATGCAGCAGTGTTCATCCAGCACCCGCTGTCAGGCAGCCCGCACCTCAAGGTGTGGGACCACGCTGCTGGCGTGCTCTGCGTCACCGAGGCAGGCGGACAGGTGCGCCTTGCTCCCTCGTGCCACTCGTCACACGTTGCTCCCTCGTGCCACTCGTCACATGCGTCTTGCTTCCTGTTCTTACTCGCCAGCACCCACTGCAGACTCACACGTCATCTGTACTCTCAGCCCTTTCGATGTCACTGCACACACTCACACGAGTTCAAAACTGATAATTCACTTTGGAGATCTCAATTCCACTCTTCCCACTGAGGTCCCTCCTTCCCTGCCTCTCCCCTCACTGCCCATCCCCTCCCTCCCTCCCTGCCCCTTCCGTCCCTGCCGCCCCTCTCTGCCCCTTGCTGACCCTTCCCTTTCTGCCCCCCCCATCCTTGACCCTTCACTCCCGACGCTGCCCCTTCAGGTAACCGACTTCGCAGGGCAATTGCTTGACCTCGGTGGGGAAGCGGGGCAGGGTGATCAGGAAGCGGCACATGCAGCAGCAGCACATGCACCCGAAGAAGGAGGCAATGATGGAAGCAGCGGCAGTGATGGCAGCTTGGCGTATTTCAGTCCGCATGGAGGGGGGGTGGTGGCCACCAATGGTGTGCTGCATGCTCAAGTACTGCACCACCTGGCAACAGGCCTGCGAATGCGAAGATCGTAGATGGCGGGTAAGAGGTTTCATACGAGGGTAGATGGAGGGCAAGAGGTTTCATACGAGGGTAGATGGCGCGTAAGAGGTTTCATACGAGGGTAGATGGCGGGTAAGAGGTTTCATACGAGGATAGATGGCGGGTAAGAGGTTTTACACGAGGGTAGAAGGCGGGCAAGAGGTTTTATACGAGGGTAGAAGGCGGGCAAGAGGTTTCATACGAGGGTAGATGGCGGGTAAGAGGTTTCATACGAGGGTAGAAGGCGGGCAAGAGGTTTCATACGAGGGTAGATGGGGGGAGTTGTATTTCCTGATTAGAGGCTGCAAGCTTTGCTGCACGCAGATTTCTGCTGCAACCAGAAATAGTTCTGCCACCTGTGCATGACACGAGGGCAGCGGGCTACACAAGATACTGGATGAAGAGGGTGTGGTGGGCAATGGGTGGTGGGTATTGGGTAGTGGTTAAGGAGTGTTGTGGCCGCTAATGGTGTGCTTGCAAATGGTTACGGTGCTCTTGAGAATTATAAAAACAAAAGTAATTCAGCTATAGCTGTAGTTGCGAATTGTGAAGCGCTTTTGAGATTTCTCAGAAATGACTCAGCTATAGCCATGGTTGCAAATTGCTCACTCCCAATGAAGTGCTGCACATCTGCGTGTGGAGAGGACAGGTGCTTGTGAGGCAGATGTGTGACTGTTACCGTACAGCTACGGTGCTCTTCAATCTGAGTGCTCTTGGTTCTCTGCATGCGAACTGGTTGAAGGACTTAATATCAGAGTATTTACTCAGATTGGTCTAGGATTCTTAGTAATCAAAATCGAAATGAACAAGAAGAGTGCATTACGGTAAAACAGGGCATATAGTGGGCAGTAGTAAAACCATACTCACTATGGCACAACAAACTTAGCCTCACGAATGTACACCTACAAACACATAAGCTACATTACTAAGAAACGATTCACCCAAGCATTTATCTACTTGTAGCTAGCATGTATGGACCACAATGCTGATATAGGGCTTATCCTCGATGGAGTGTACTTGTGTGGAACTGTACGGTACAAGTCCACGGCAAATGGAGAAGTGTGTGCTTGCGCCTCCAAGCTTACTGTATCAGAATACGTGGTATGATTAAAAAATGATAACGACGAACAGTCTGGAACTTGCCCTCGCGTTCAGGGCTATTGCTAGGATTTTTGCTAGCTCGGACGATCCGGGCCCCTGTGAAAAAGACCCTGTAAAATCCGAGCCAGCGGAAAAAAAACCTTGACGAATCCGGGTTCGAGCCAGAAAAGGCCTGAAAACATGCATTACCAGAATTTCGCGGGAAACTCACAGTGGGTGAGCGAGATACTTATTGTAGACTTCGAAAAAAATACGATGAGGAAGAGTACATAGGGAGAACAGGGCAATCAGACACTCTCTCCTTATTGGCCTTCTAAGCCATGTCGACGTAGAACAGGGCAATCAGACACTTGGAGGCCAACAAGGAGAGAGTGGTTAGGAAATTCACTAAAATGGCCCACGTGTGTTTAGAGGGAGACGGAGAGGAATGCAAGGCAGGTCGGGGAGAACATGTCTGCTAAAATTATACGGGTCCCCTTGAGAACTCCCCGGAGAGATCCGAGCTGACTCAATAATCACCCTTCAGTTTTACGGGCTGGTCCAAAAAAACCTTGTGAAAATCAGGGCTCCTTGAAAAAACACCCTATAATTTCAGTCAAAACAGGGTAATTGCCCTGATAACTTAGGCCCTGCTCGCGTTACGCCATTGTTCACCCGTGGCACAGAGATTGCGATTTGTCCCCCAGTTTAGTTTTTTTTGTTCGTTCAAAACAACCATCCGCTGCTGTGTAGCCCCTGAGCATTCACGACTCGATGTAATTCAAGGCGGTACTAAGCACAACTGGTTGTTTGGGGGTGAACCCTAAAACATATCAAAAGCTCTGCTGAGAGCCCACTTGGCTTTCAGAAATTCCGGCATCATTCTTCTGTGTCTTTACGATACGAACAAGCAGCGTTTGGCGATTTTTCCAACACCTGCCCTTCAAATCGGACCATCCCCGTGCATCATATCGTAACGGGCATCTATGAAGGGTGGTCGAAATGATGGGACGAATAATAAAGAACCGCTCCTCATAATGAGCGTCCGCAATCGATCGGTTGAGCTCGCACCAGCTCACCACCAAAACAGTGGTGCAGCGTCCGCCACGAATTGCGCTTTTCCATTTCTGTTTCGTGCGAGAAGTTCGTTACGGTCGCCAAGGGAAGCAGTCTACGGTGCAGATTTCGTGGTGGCAGATCAGTGGTCAACCTTAACTGAGGGGGAATTCGAGGTTTTTATTTCTGTAACGTACTGCATCGCACAACACCCTTCTGCTACCGTTTCTTCAACAGACACTTGATCTAATTTGTTGTGCTTCAATCCAGCAGGCAGATCATCCAATCTAATAAATTGCTTACACACAGGCAGATAAAACCAACTGTTTTGAGCAGCCTCTAGACTCCTCAAAGGCATCCTGGACGAAGAACATCACATTCCAAGTTGGAGAAACTTTTGCATTGGAAGCTATGGCTGTTGAGAAGAAGGGATATGTAGACACTGAGGCTGGGCAAATCCACTATCGAAGGTAAAGGATAGTTTGAGATATTGTAAGGTACAAAACAAGGAGATCTGATAAGCACTCACGACCTCACTTGTATGCCATGTTTCTCATTGTCAAAGAGTTCCGTGGTGCATATTTTTCGAGATTCGGATCACTTTCCATTGCCCCTCCCCCCCCCCCCCCCCTTCTCTCTCTCTCCCCCCCCCCCTCCCCCCCCCCCCTCTCTCTCTCCTCTCTCTCTCTCTCTCTTTCTCTCTCTCTCTCTCTCTCTCTCTCTCTCTCTCTCTCTCTCTCTCTCTCTCTCTCTCTCTCTCTCTCTCTCTCTCTCTCCCTCCCTCCCTCCCTCCCTCCCTCCCTCCCTCCCTCCCTCCCTCCCTCCCTTTCCCCCTCCCTCCCTCCCTCCCTCCCTCCCTCCCTCCCTCCCTTCCTCCCTTCCTCCCTCCACTGTGTCAGTGATTCATTTTAGGTCCTACAATTATGGCAGTTGTTTTCCAACATTAGTTACAAATTTCTAGATTCTCACATCTGTACGCTTTCATCCATTGCTTGCATGACTACTTGCAGATGCGGCCAAGGAACGCCGTCCATCCTGCTCCTGCACTCTGCGGGCCAGTCCTCTGCCATGTTCACTGCTGCACTCAAGAGGTTCGCTGCTGCTGGCCTCCACGCCGTTGCTCTGGATCTGCCCAACAGCGGGGAGTCGTGTCGCGCTACGTCAGGATACGCTGATGCCTCGCAAGCCACTCAGCTCCCGGACGGCGAACTCACCATGGTTGACGTCGCGAACCTTGTGCTCCAAGCTGCCCACGGGTTGCATTTCGTGCCGCCATTTGATATTGTGAGTGCATGACCTGGTTGATGGATGATTGAGTGGTGAATGGGTGCATGAGATTTTGAATGCACGTTACGATGCACTTCAACACAACACATGCATCCGATGATTGTTGATCAAGAGTTGTATGCACATATACTCTCGGACCGTAATGCATACACCCACGAGCCTCCTACCGCAGATCTGTTACAAGATGGGATTCGCTATGCCAGCATGCATGGGAATTCCCGAACGGTTTGAACTCCCTCGTCCTTGCTAGCTCCGAACAAGGATAGGTGTTAGCCCCACAGCATTCCCTCTCATCCTCATCAGCTACTGGAAGCTACTGGAATCCAACAGGGCATGGCATCGACGTGCTATGCAAAGATGCCATGCGAAAGTTGACGATGCGGTTTTCCTTCCGAGCCGCGCTTCCTCCTTCCTAGCATATATATTTCCTCTCAGAAACTTGTATTATCTTGTCTTCCTTTTTAATCTCAGATTCTAAATCCAACTCTCCCGTCTACATTTCTGGAGCTAGGCTTCCTTCTCTCTCTAGCTTAGCTCTCTTCCGCTGCATCATGTTCTTCTCTAGTTCTCGAGCTACAGCGCCGCTCTCCCTAGTCGCCATGGCCAGCCAAGCCAGCCGCGCCGTAAGCGGCAGCGCGCCGTAGCCTTGTTTCAACATCCCACCAGCTATGCATCCATGCCTGCACCTCTCCAATCTCTCTTCCACTCCTACCTTCACCCCCCCCCTCCCCCCCACCCCCCCCCCCCCCTACCCGCCCACTCTCTGTCTCCCAATCTCCTGCCTCTTTCCTACTTCAGTAATTCCCCTCATCCCGATCTTCCTCTCTTCTCCCTCTTCATCTCTTGCTCTCAATTTCTGACTTCCCCTCTCCCTTCCCCTCGGTTGGGGTCTGATTTCATTGACCCCCACCACTTAATACTGTCACCCATCCGCCCCATTTTTTTGCTTCCCTCATCTCCCTGCCATACATCGCCCCTGGTTCTCAAACCTTTCTTACCAACCCACTTCACCCATTTTTTTCCCTCTGCTCTCTGTCAGGTGGGGCATCAGGTGGGCGCAACAGTGGCGCTGCACATAGCAGCGGAGCTGCCTCACATAGTGCGCCGCATTGCCCTGTGGGGCATACCCATGCTCGGCTTCATGGAGCGCGGGGACGTGCTCAGAGAGGAAAGCCCTGATGCTGATTACCAGGCTGAACTCCCGGCTGCCATCGTTGCATTCATAGCCACACGGTTCCCGGAAAGACAAGTTGGTGGTGCGGGTGTGGATGTGCCGTGGCAGCTGAAGGTACGCACGGTCATTGATGTGCTGCAGACATATGAGAGGCGCCCCTGGCTGACTCGAGCCATGGCCGTTACAGATCACGCCGACCTGCTCAAGCGGATTGACCTGCCCGTGCTCTGCATGGCTGGGGAGAGGGAGCCCATGCAGAAGGCGACAAGAAAAGCCGCCCTGCTGTGCAAGAATGGGGAATATGTGGAGCTGGGGCCTGCGGGTCGGGATGTGGTGGATGAAATGCCGGATGAGTATGCCTGCACCGTTCTTGAGTTCCTGCTGGCAGACCCCACCCTTGCCAGCCCCATGGTGCGGGCCAGTTGCTCCGTGCCAGCTGGCTTGTCAGAAGTTACTGGCGGGGCAGGCATGGGTGATAATCGCCAGGTGTCAGAGTCAGGAGTGAGGGAGGTGGAGGGCCAGCATAGGGGGCTGCAAAGGCACCTTACGCAGGGTGCTGTGGCTGGAAGTCAAATGCATGGCAAGGGGCAGAGCGGCGGGCGGGTGCAGGGGCATACGCAACCACAGCAAACACAGACCAGCAAGAAATATGAGCCAGCAGAGAGAGGGAAGCAGGAGGGAGGAATAGAGAAGGGAGTGGAGAGGCAGGAAGGGACAAGGGGCAGTGGCAGCAGTAACAGCAGCAAGGAATCATCACCTATAATAAGGTCATCGTACGAGAGCGATGAGAGGCGGCAGTCAGAGGGGAGTCAACCTTCAGAAGCAAAGCAACCATCTGGGGAGCGGAGAACATCTGGGGAGAGGAGTGCCAAGGACCGTATCAAGGCTTTCTTTCGCGGGAAGAGCACCTCGCAAGGGCTGTGGAACTAGACTAGAGATACCAAAGGGCCAGGACAAGCAACTCTAGAAGGAGATCTTGCATGGCTGCGATGCTGGCACCATCATATATTCCAAGGTGAATTAGGCTATGTGGTAGTGTAATTCTTCTTTTCAGTTCTATTAGTGTGCTGATTTTGTGTGTTGTGCTATGCTTGTCAGATAATAAATATATTGAAGGTAAATATATGTTTGCATCTGAGTTGAGTTGTGTCCAACCAAACAATAAGGAACTTGTAAGCACGGGGCCACTGGTAGTGGAATGGTGCGTTGCAAGGTGAATCTTTGAGAGGCAACCAGAAATTAGCCAAGGGAGGAACCGTCTTGTGGGAAGCTGTGCCAAGGCAGCATACAGTACAATACAACTGAGAAAATATATTCTATATCTATGTTAGTTTCTATAGGCTAGAAAATGTTAGACTTTAGGAAGTATGACATTTGTGCTTGTGTTCACTGTACCCAACCCCCTAGTGCTATTTCTCTTTCGACATGGTAACAATCTAGGTTAGGTCTTGCTTCTGCTTTCTCCTAGGCTAAGTCACTCATTACCTGCCTAGCCCTACTCCTGGCCAGCTCTCACTAGCCTCTCGCAGTTGCCTAATGCGCCCTACTGCCACGTGGCTTATTGCGCCCCAATGCCTTGTCGCCTAGCGCGCTTTGCTGCCTGTCGCCCGTGCCCTGCTGCCCAGCGTGCCCTGCTGCCCGCCGCGCCTCGTCGCCCTGTCACCTAGCACGCCTCGCTGCCGTGCCCCCCCGCGTGCCCTGCTGCCCCGTCGACCATCAAGCCCTACAGCCTCATTCACGCACAGCAGCAGAAGCAGCAGCAGCATAGCAGTGTCAGAGGTCCACTGGTGATCCCCGATGATCCTAGGGAAGGGTTACAGGCACGTTGGCCTGGGGGGTTATGGGCGCACTCACCCGCTACACAAACAAGCCCTTTTATCCCAGTGGTTAGTGGCTGGGATTCTGACATGGTATCAGAGCGAAGGTCTTGGAATTCGAATCCCGGTGTGTGCACCTCGGGCATCCCAGTGCGGGGGGGTGTCAGAGGTCCACTGGTGATCCCCGATGATCCTAGGGAAGGGTTACAGGCACGTTGGCCTGGGGGGTTATGGGCGCACTCAAACGCTACACAAACAAGCCCTTTTATCCCAGTGGTTAGTGGCTGGGATTCTGACAAGCAGCACCTTAGCAGAACGAGCAGCAGCAGCACCGCGCTTCTGCCCTTTAGCACTGCCACACAATTAATCAAGGCTTGAGTAGTTTGCTGTAGTTTACAAGAGAACCTTGATAGAATTGCGTGTCATGATGATGTAGTGTAGAAATTTAGTTAGACAAGACAGTAGCGAGACTACTCCAGGAATAACTGAACGTAGGGCGAACCGATCAAGGCGGGAATCTAATGAAGGTAGCAACGGTGCCGGAGCAACGGCGAGTGCAGATCATACTTAGGGTTGCAGGAGGCTCATAGCTGACAGTTTGCTTGTTTCTTTAGTCATCTTAGCTAGGAAATCATCCTACCTAAGCTATAGAAAAGCCAGTCTAAGCATGCAACCAGCCGAGCTAACCTAGCCTAATATAGTGAGGAGTACCACAATCTCATTACAAACAAGGACAAATATGTCTGATAGAGTAGAGTTAAGACCGCGATTTATCTATCGACGAAAAACTATGGAGACAACGCTCACAACGCTAGGATGGCGCGCGCATGCTAACAGCCTGAAGTCGTAAGAGAAAAGCGAGCGCACTCCCGACGTAGCGCTTCGCCAACGTACAGGGTGCTGCACCAGCGCGAAAGGAGCGATACGAGGCGAGAAAGCGGCGGCAAGCCGGCAGCGGCGTCGGACCCCGGAACGGTGCCACAAGATCTACGGTGGGCACGCGAGGTGCAGGAATGGTGGAAGACGAGAGGCAACATAGAATCGCCGCTGACCATGCCGGGAATGAAGGAAGCCATTCCATCGCCTCGGAAGTAGTGGAGATGGGACGAGCGACCTAGCCTTTGTGGGAACCAAGAAATGGTGGCTAGTCGGACAGCAATGGGGATACAAGGAGAAAGTGAACGTTTGCCGCTGGAACTTCGCCTCGCTGTCGAAAGTGAAGTAGCAGAATGGTTCACGAGGATCCTTGGAGTGGGACCTACCTTGAAGAATTACATAATGCATCTAAAGTCCACGTAGTAATCCTGGGAATGCGACGGATTCGACCCTCAAGAATTCTTCTGCAAAATTGTCGTCACACTGGCGGGGGAAGCAAAAACTTTCTACCAGATGGTGCGGAGTGAAGTGCTGGAGGAGCTGGCACACGACCTCATCGAGAACCTGACGGAGCACTTTGTGCAGTTACTGAAGGGAGTGTATGGGGTAGCGAAGAGGACGGAGCACTCACAACGGCTACTTGACCTGGTGAATGGGGAGATGCGGCAGGAGGCGAGAACGAGTTGGGCCGCCGCAGCTTTGTTGGAAGTCGAGAGGAACCAACGGGAGCGTGTAGATCCGAGGAGGTGTCACAGCTGCGGAGAACCGGGGCACCTGAGGCGGGACTGCCCGAATATGCCCTTGTGCGGGCGATGCGGAAAGTGGGGGCATTGAGCGGTCGACTGTTACCAAAGGAGGGCAGGCCGGAAGACTTACAGGC